TTAATTGCTGGCTCAGGAGTAGGTGGAGCTGCCCGGGACCTGGCTAATGTAGCTGATGGAACTTTTCTTTGGGGACCATGACTAAAATTTGGAAATGGAATTACAGCCTCATCTACACTGAGAGGATGTCACTATGTATAGTTTCATGTAATCTGTGATAATTGTTCAGTCTTTTCTCACATGACTGTTGTTTGGCAACCTTTAATTCACATCCCCCTTTGATGCTTCTAGCTTTCTTGTTTAGTATTTTAAAAATCACGCAGTACTGGGCACTTGCCCCTCTGAGGGAAAGCACTTGCAGTCTAACTAAAGTCCGTTCTGCCCAGGACTGAGGTAGCATGGGCGCAGGGTGTGTGGAGGTGACACTGACTGTCCCTTTTCTCCTACAGGGATTTCCACATTACCTCCACCTCCTCCACCTCCGCCTCCACCACCAGCAGCTCCCTTGCCTCCTTCGAGCACAGAGGTGGCCACACAGCTCCAGCCCCAGGCTGTGAATGGCATGAGCCGAGGGGCCTTACTCAGCTCCATCCAGAATTTCCAAAAAGGAACTTTGAGGAAAGCCGAAACCTGTGATCATAGTGCTCCCAAGATCGGCTAACGCTTCGTGTTTACACTTGGAGGGAAAAGCTCTTTATTTTCCGCGCACCTCCGACCACTAAAGCAACCTCTCCCTGGATGAAGAACTGCTGAGCCAGCACAGCCACATACTGTTCTGCAGATACTCATGTAAGGGGCTTTTCAAGAGGGAAATGTTCATGGAGATTAAAATCAGGCGGGCATTGCTGCCTTAAGAAATATTTTGCTCCTTTATTACTATTTTAAAGGAGTTGTTCATCCTCTAATGGGCTTCTTTTGGGGGCAGCAGCATATCAGAATCAATATTTCTACCAACTGAAGGAAACGGACAAAAACAATGATAATATTCAGTTACGGCAGTGAATGGCCTTTGTGTTGCAATCCTTCCTATATCATCAGACAGCTTCTAGAAACGTTCCTCTCATTCTTTATTTCTCTAAAGCATTTTTCTGGTTATTTCTTAGATCCTAACTCCCATTTCTGCTACCTTAATTTCATCTTAGACATTAACACTGTAGCCCAAAGCATAGCTATATCTCTGAGTCAGAAAAGCAACTGACTTCATTTTCCCCTCAAATAGAATGGGGAAAACTCGTAACATTCTCTAATGGGAATACTGTTGTGGTCATAGAACTCGGGGCTGCTAAAGCAACTACTCTAAACTCCTAGTTCCTTATAGTTAGAACGTATTGAACAGATAAAACTATCAGAAAATGCTCTTGCCTATTAGAGGATCTTACTCCTCAGCAATTAAGTTTGTTTTGTGAGGAATTATTGTTACAACACAAGTGAATTTGGCATTTATAGAATTCTGATTTTTGAAAGATTTATTCAAATACATCATCTTTAAATGTTACTCATTTACTAGAAAGATCCTTTATTCTATGATTTGCTTAAATCCTTAAATAAACTGCACTTTAAAGGATTATAAGTAATCCATTTAAAAATTCAAATACACACATCAGTGTTGGTTACTATGCAGAGAGAATGTCACTGTCTATAGTTTCATGTAATCTGTGATAAATATGTTCAGCTGTATTTTTTATTAAAATAAACCATGTCAAGAAAATGGGTTGTCTATAGCTTGGCTAAATATTTTAAATGGGAACTTTTTGTAGTACCATTTGTAAACAAAGACCAGATCCACACAGCTTCTAAAGTTTTCTTCCCACCTATCCCATTTCTTTTATGTCATATTTTTCCTCTTAATAAGAGCTAACAATCCTGTCTTGCTGTTTAAATTAGTCACCATTTGTATGTTTTTATAACTAATTTAAACCTGTCTTTTCAATCTCAAGTTCTGAAGAGGGCAATAGCAGGAGGACTGTTTTTTTGGCAATGGGAAATTACCTGACTTGAATTTTTGCTTTAATTTTAAAAGGAACCCTATTAGGCTTTAAAAAAAAATAATTATCTTTATTATTGAAAGTATTACAGACGTCCCCTTTCCCCCCCCACCATTGTTCCCCTCCCCC